GGATGTATGACATCATTTGCCTAGGCCTGGAAACCAAGAAGTAATTGAAGAAATGTAAAAAAAAAGTTTAAAACAAGCAAATATGATATTCTTTCCTATCTATTTACTAATGCTAGCAACATAAAGATGAAAAATAGTCAATGTTGATTGAGAGAGTAAAGTTGAGCTTTAGGGAATCCCTTGGGGGCTCCCCAGGTCATCAGAACTAGTGTCCCCATTGGAAGAATTCCTCTCTATTACGTTTCTGGAGACAACCCAAAGGTGGGAATTTTTCTTTTATTTACTTTCACTTTCACTGATAATGGCAAACAGGACAAATAGAGAGGGTGAAGCTCCAAAATGGGGGCACGAATAGCACTAAAAATGTATTAGGTGTTCAAATCTATCTCCTCTTATTAAACTTTAGGCTTTTCCTCTCCTGAAACTCATCTGCTTACCAGGACTGAGATAGGGGGTGCTCTGGTTGCGTGCATAGCTCTGGATTGGTCCTGGAAAATGTGGCACTCTGACCTGATTAGACTCCTAGCAAACTTTCCATAGCCTCTTCCAGATCATCAGAACCTTGTGTTTTAAGGACTTTTTTGCCATCCTGCTTCAAGGTTGCAGGCTTTCAAGGCATATCTTTGAAGCCCAGGTGCTGAAAGACAAGGGCATCTCTGAATCAGTAATTCCCATTTTTCTAAAGGTCAGTAAGTCTAGTTCTAGCAGGGCCTATCATTGTAGGTGGAAGGCATAATTTGCTTGGTGTGAGACACGAGGATTTCACCCCAGGAGATTCAGTGGGATGAATACTCGCCTTCCTGTAGTTAGCTTTGTACTGACATTTGGTTTTCAGCACCTTCAAGGGTCAGGTCTCTGCTCCCACTTTCTTATTTTTAAAGACAACTGGCTTCCCATTCCTTGATGAAGATCTTTCTTTATGGTGTTTCCCCAGTTTGCTTCCCTGTGACTGCATAAGATCTTCAAAAAACATCCTTTGCACCTGTCAGATCTTCTGCTCTCCACACTTATTCGGTGATGTTTCTTGTAGCCATCACCACTGTGAGTCATTTTTCTGAGCTGGTACCCTTATCTTGTAAAGAACCCTTTCAGGCCCTACCCAGGGACAAGGTGGTTTTGAGGTCCAGAACTTTCTTCCAGCCTAAGGTAGTTTTGGCCTTTCACCTCAAGCAGAACATACTTCTGGCATCTCTTTGTCTTGGAGATAATCCAGCTATTGTTTTCCAGATTTGCAAGGCTTACACCTGACCTTCTGTTCACGTGTTTTCAAAGTTCTATCAGAAAGATGTGAAAGCCTGCCATGATACCAATTTCAGCTGTAAGGTCCTTCAGGTGGCTCTTTGAGCTGCAGGCAGTCCCCATTTCTGTTGTATTAAGTGAATCTGTGAGTGTTTTGTCTGCTGGGTTGCCAACCCCTCAGTTTTACTTCTTTTGGATGTCCCAACAGTATCTGAATTCCTGTGTCCTTCAGCAGACAAAAGAGAAAATAGAATTGTTGTACTTACCGTAGAAACGATTGAGTACTGACGTGATACTTTTTTTATTTGCACTAACATACAATTTTGAGGACAAGCTTTCGGGGAATGTCCCCTTCTTCAGGGTTCAGGCAGTACTACTTCACAAAGTTTTAGCAGAAGGTTAAAAAAGATGTTGAAAAAAAAAAAAAAAAACCAGAAAGAAACACACACAAACAAATGTACACAGCAATGGTTATAAAACTAGGATTAGACTAGAGATAAGATACAGCAAAAGCAAACACTGGGGGGGGACAACTCTCACAGAGGGGGTCGTAAAGCTGTTGGATAATGAGTGAGGAATCCCATGTCCAAATTAAGGCCCTTATCTCTTGTATCAAATAGAATTATCATTCTTAGTTCAAAAGTTTTCCTTTCCTGAATAGATTGTACTTACCATAAAATCTTTTTCTTGGAGTTAACCATTTCAATACCGGGCAATTTTACACCTTCCTGCCCAGGCCATTTTCCAGGTTTCATCGCTCTCACACTTTGAATGACAATTGCGCGGTCGTACAACATTGTACCCAAACTAAAATTTTGTAATTTTCTTCACACAACTAGAGCTTTCTTTTGGTGGTATTTAATCACCGCCGGGGATTTTATTTTTTGCTAAATTATCAAAAAAAGATGGAAAATTTTGAAAAAAAACCCACATTTTTCTTTGTTTCTGTTATAAAAGTTTGCAAATAAATAATTGTTCTTCATACATTTAGGCCAAGATGTATTCTGCTACATGTATTTGGTGAAAATAACCCAAATTAGGATGTATTTTTTAGTTTGTAGGAAAGTTACAGAGTTCACAAACTATGGTATAGATCTGAATATTGATCAATCCTGAAGTACTGACAGCCAATCTAATTTCTTGAGGTCCAAGAATGTCAGAACAGTACAGATATCCCCCAAATGACCCCTTTTTGCAGAGTATACAGTCCGACGTACTTCATAAGAGGAATGGTGAGTTTTTTGAAGTTGTATTTTTTGTCATAATTTTTTGGAAAATGAAAAAAATGCAAAAAATTATTTTCACTTTTTTTTTTTTTACATACTGTCACCAGTGCAGTACAGCGTCTTCATAAAACTGGCATGGCGGTGATCAGGGACACTGACTGGTGACAGTATGAAAAAAAAAATATTTTTTTTTATTTTTTTTATTATTTTTAATTTTTTATTACTTTTTTTTTCTTTTTTTTAAGATTTTTTTTTTTCATATTTCACTATGTCCAAAGTAGTACAATGTTACCATAGTAACATTGTACTACTTTGGGGAAGTGATCAGTATTTTTTTTTTTTTTTTTTTACACAATTTGCTTATAGCAAAGAATTACATTGCTATAAGCAAGCATTTACCTGAATGACATCGATTCATTCAGGGTTTTTTTTTTTTTGTGCTTAGCTGTGATTTGGCCACAGCTAATCACATGACATGTGCATGTGATTAGCTGTGACCATTCACAGCTAGACACTAGTATACAATAAATGGCATGAATGAAGCAATCCATTGTATACAACTGTCATGTGACCTGCTGTGATTGGTCACAGCAGGTCACATGGTACCGGCAATGGGGCCTATACTCAGATCTGTCATCGGCTGTGTCCGAGGTACACGGCCGGTGACAGATCGCGGCTCTGCAAGCGCGAAAAGTGCGCATGTGCGGGAGGACGCCATTTGGCGTCCAACCCGGATATCCGATACATTTTTCCGGCCGCCTTTTGGCTATTGGTCGGGCGTTTATTGGTTATCTTAAGTACACAGGTACTACCCCTCAGTGTTTATGATCATGCTCTTCCTGGTGTTTCCTACAATACTGAAGCATGCTGGGAAGAGGGGTTATCTGTCTGTCAAACAACAGGCTGGTTGGCAAGCTGAGCTGGGAATTTTTTTCTTTTGTTGGTTGACATGTGTCACCCTTCCATGTGCTCTTCGCCGTGAAGGCCATTTATAGACTGGGGCAGCAGCCACTTTTTGTACTGGGGTTATCTGTCTGGCCTACAGATTTTTGTTTTCTTGCCTAATCCTCCACTACGGTCACATGCCTGATGAAGGGGTCCTACGAGACTCCGAAACGTTGCCTTGCTGTAACTATGTGATCGTTCATTAACCTCCTTGGCGGTATTCCCGAGTGTTGCTCAGGGTAAAGTTTCTGTACCAAAAGCGGTAACCCCGAGCTACACTCGTGGTTACCATGCGGCACTGCATAGGGAGTCCCTGCAGGGCTTACCTTGTCCTTCGCTCCCGCGATGTGTCCCCTGCAGCGTCCCCGGCCATCTCCTCCGGCCGATGCCGGCATCCGGCTTCTGTGTTCCGGTCCCTGTGACGTCGGGACGTACGGGCGCCGCCGGCGGCGGGAGATTTTAAAATTTAAAAAAAATTTCATTTTTTTCAAAACGAATTTTACATAGTAAAACATTGCTGTTTCAACCCATTTCACATACATTTTGTCCCGAGTGCTTTGTCCTGTCCCCTGTCTGCATTTTGTCTGTTCTTTCTGCCTGGAAACTTAGAAAAGTCCATGGCGTCCAAAAAGCGTCCCTTTAGGTCAAAAGCGGTTTTAGACCGGCTAGAGAACAGCGATAGTAAATTAGAACTACTTGCAGAATTGAGTGATAATGATTCGTGGGGGAAATTTGTCATCAGACACTGAAAACAATTTTGCGACTTTGCTCAGCAATGTGCGAACTTGGCACTATATTTCAAATTTCAGTGTTTTTGGTTTGGTTATATTATTGAATTAAATGTATTATTATTATATTATTATTTTTATGTTTATTTATTAAATTATAATTTATGATTTTGTGTTTCAAATTTTATCATACCCGGGATGTTTAATAGACTTTTGTTCGGACAGATTTCAGTGAGTTCTTCCTAAATATTACAGCCTATAATAAAAAAACTACATATTTCCATGCAAAATAATGGTACCGCTTTCAGCACCAAAAATCTGAAATAATCAGACCGCCAGGGAGGTTTAAAACTTTTGGACCCATATTGGTGATCCTCAGTGTGCTGGTGACATTCTACCTTGCTGATTCTGTTTGGTTCCAGCCGACAGTCGCTGCAGCACCCACTCATACACACAGACATTTTTAATGGAGGAACTTGTGCGTTGGGGTTGTTCACTTTCATTTCAACCCTCCACTATGGTGCAATATAATGTGACAATATCCAAATTCTTGTGCTCCTCAATGTATTTCAAAATTTCTATTTTTTTCTCCCCACACCAATTAACCGTTCCATAAGGTAAAATAGACCACAATGGCCTACTGTATCTAACTTTGATTCAGGTGAAGTAAGTTCAAATTTGGTTGTATCAGTTTCCTAGATTAAAATATTTCCATACAGCCCAAATTTTCAAGGCCATATCTGCCTGCTTTGCTAGAAAAAAACAATTTCCAAATAGCTCAAGCTGAGATATATACATAACTAAATAAATCAGGGCAATGACTCCTACCCCTTCCTCTTCCTTTTTACAGGTAGCCTTGTATATGGAGCCTGAAGGTTAAACTACTTGAGTTGCGGTTTCTCTTTAAAGTGGAGTTCCACTCACCCTGTAAAAAAATAAATGTCAGCAGCTGCAAAAACTGTAGCTGCTGACTTTTAAAAAACAGCCACTTACCTGTCCCTTGGTCCCACGGTGTATCCCCCACAGCCCGTTTCACCGGCCGTCCTGGATTCCAGGAAGCCGGCATCTTCAGTGTGGGCACCCGGCTGTGACAGCGTGCGGCTTCACAGCCGGGTACCCACTGCGCATGCATGAGTAGTGCTGCGCTTCATGAATGGTCCTGTAGTCTTCTGGGACCTGTCACGTGTCCCAAAAGACTACAGGAAGGGAGGACACCTTCCGCCTCTGGTCGCCTACCTGTTAAATTTGGGTACCGCCCCCTCAAAGGTGCCAATTCTTAATGGGGAGCAGGGGAGCAGTCCTTAAAATGGAACTTCCCCTTTTGGGTGGAGATCCGCTTTAAGGAACTCATACTGTAAATGTTATGAAAGGATTCAACAAGACCCATGAAGAGAAGCACACCATCCCTACTCTGAGGCATGGTAGTAGATCGCTGTTGTTTGGGGGGTATGTAACCTACAAGAATGTAGTCAAAATTGATGGCAAGACATCAGAAAATAATGGAGAGAAAAATTTTGTATTCATCAGCCTGGAAGCTGTTCATATGATGAACTTGGATTTTGCTTCATGACAATGATCTGAAACATAAGACAGAGTCAACCTTTCATCAGCTGCAGCAATAAAAAGGAATGGTTCTGGAGTGATTATCATAAACTCCTGACCTTAATATCATTGAGCCACTATGGGGAGATTGCAAACATGAAGTTCATACCAGCCAACAAAAAATTTAACCTGGAGGCTTTTTATCAAGAAGAATATGCAGCTTTACCACATGAGAAAATACAGAGCCTTATTCACAACTTTCACAAAAGAATGCAAGCAGTCAATGATGCCTAAGGCAGCATTATAGGAATTTACGAACTAAGGGTAGGCAAACTCTTGAATGGTAACATTTATTATTTTCCTTTTTTGCTATGGAGTGTGCTAATCTGTGATGCTTAGAGTTTAATATAAATCACATTTAAAAAAAAAATATGTTGCTAAATAATGCACTTGGGGGGAAAAAGAATCCTCTAACAGAGTACAATATAAGGGAACAGTGTAGGTCAGAACTACAGTAGAAGCTGTTTGGAGGTGCGTGTTTCAAATGATTCAAAATGAATAGAATTAAGTGGCAGTGGGGAAAACAAATAGAATGGAGAAGTGCATTACTAAAAGCATCAACAGCAGGAGGAAGGAGGTCCTGATTTCCCTATAAAGATTTGTATTTATCACTAGAGGGATTCCCAGCAGGAATAAGGAGGTCCTGATTCCTCTGTATAGACCTTTAGGTATCACTAGAGGGATCACCAGCAGGAGGAAGGAGGTCCTGATTCCCCTGTATAGATCTTTAGTTATCACTCGAGGGATGCCCAGCAGGAGGAAGGAGGTCATGATTCCTCTATATAGACCTTTAGGTATCACTAGAGGGATCACCAGCAGGAGAAAGGAGGTCATGATTCCTCTATATAGACCTTTAGGTATCACTAGAGGGATGCCCAGCAGGAGGAAGGAGGTCCTGATTCCTCTATATAGATCTTTATATCACTAGAGGGATCACCAGCAGGAGGAAGGAGGTCCTGATTCCTCTATATAGATCTTTAGTTATCACTAGAGGGATCACCAGCAGGAAGAAGGAGGTTCTTATTCCCCTTATATAGATCTTTAGTTATCACTTGAGGGATGCCCAGCAGGAGGAAGGTGGTCCTGATTCCTCTATATAGATCTTTAGTTATCACTAGAGGGATCACCAGCAGGAGGAAGGAGGTCCTGATTCCTCTCTATATAGATCTTTAGTTATCACTAGAGGGATGCCCAGGAGGAAGGAGGTCCTGATTCCCCTTATATAGATCTTTAGTTATCACTAGAGGGATGCCCAGCAGGAGGAAGGAGGTCCTGATTCCCTTATATAGATCTTTAGTTATCACTAGAGGGATGCCCAGCAGAAGAAGGAGGTTCTTATTCCCCTTATATAGATCTTTAGTTATCACTTGAGGGATGCCCAGCAGGAGGAAGGTGGTCCTGATTCCTCTATATAGATCTTTAGTTATCACTAGAGGGATCACCATCAGGAGGAAGGAGGTCCTGATTCCTTTATATAGATCTTTAGTTATCACTAGAGGGATCACCATCAGGAGAAAGGAGGTCTTTGTTTTCCTATATAGATATTAGTTAATATTAAATGGGTCACCAGAAGCAGGAAGGGGATCCTGCTTCCTTTATTTAGATATTTAATGTTCACTAGAGCAATAACCAGCAGGAGGAAGGAGGTCCTGATACCCCTATACAGATCTCTAGTTAGACCTCATTTAGAATACTGTGTCCAGTAATGGAGAGCTCATTTACAAAAAGATACTGAAAACTAAAATAAGTCAAGAGACAAGCTACAAAAATGGTGAAATGTCTAAGGTGTAAACATATCAGGCAAGTTTGTGGAAACTTGAAGTAGAATTACATTTTTAAGTTAACTTTAAGTAGTTCATCTGGGCCAAGTTGGCTCAAACAAACTTTTTCCATTACTAAGTGATGCAGATGCTGTGTGCGCTGTGTTCTGCAGTAGTACGGGTGACTTCTTAGCTGCTGCCCAGAAGTAAATCAAGTTGGTCTGAAAGCTTCTCTGCTGTGCGGAAGCCTTGTATTTTAACTGGTTCCTGCCGGCCTACTGTACGATGGCCAGGTGGGACCACACTGATTCAGGGGGGATGTCATATGATGTTCTCCGATTCTTGCCCCGCTGTGCACCCCCAGTGATCGGTGGTGAGCTGTGTCCCTCGAACACAGCACATCACTAATCAGGGTAAAGAGCTAATGACTTTGGCTCGTTACCAAGTGATCAGCTGTGTCCAATCACAGTGGATCACATAAAAACAAATGCCAGTTATTGGCATTTCCTTTTTTCAGCGCTGTCACTGCCTGAGGAAAGGAAAGCCAAAAACAAGCTTTCCTGTGAAGAAGATATTTACACTGATAATCAGGGTACTGATCATCAGTGCCCAGATTATTAGTGCAGCCCCATCATTGCAGCATATAGGTGCTCATCAGTGCCACCTCATCAGTGCAGCCTCATCTGCGCACATTATTGAAGATGAAAAAATTACTTATTTCCAAAATGATATAACAGAAACAAAGAAAAAAGTTGTTTTTTTTTCAAAATTTTCTATATTTTTTGTTTGTTTAGTGAATAAAAAACCAACAACACAGTGGTGAGTAACCTCCCTAGTGGTCTGATTATGTCAGTATTTCTGTGCTCAAAGCGGTACATTTTTTTGCATGGAAATATGTTGGGGTTTTTTTGTAGGCCTGTAATTCTTAGGAATAACTCACTGAAATCTGTCCGAACAAGAGTCTAGTAAACAACCCGGGTATGATAAAATAATCCACTTTTGATAAAACCACTTTTGAGCGCCTAAACTGGGCAAAGTCGCTTTTGATGGACACCATGGACTTTTCTCAGTTTCCAGAAAGAACGGTGGACACCAAAAATGCAGAAAGAACGCATGGGCACAGGACAAAGCACTCGGGACAAAATGTATGTGAAATGCTTTGATACCGTAATGTTACACTATGTGATTTTAGTGTATTGAGTGAATGTCACATTTTAAAATGTTTTAATTTCCCGCCGGTTCCGTCCCCGTACGTCCCGACGTCCTGATGCTCACAGGGAACGGAACCTGGAAGATGGATGCTGGCATCGGTCGGAGGAGATGGCCGGTGATGCTGCAGGGGGGACATCGTGGGAGCGCAGGACAAGGTAAGTGCAAGAGGGAATCCCTGAGTAACGCTGCAGGGTAATCCTGAGTGTAGCTCAGGGTTACCGCTTTTGGTACTGAAAGATAACCCCGAGCTACACTCGGGAATACCACCAGGGAGGTTAAATACCACCAAAAGAAAGCTTTATCTATCTCAAAAATTGATAAAAATATCATCTGGGTTCAGTGTTGCATGATCGTGCAACTGTCATTTAAAGTGCGACAACCCTGAAAGCTGAAAATTGACCTGGGCAGGAAGGAAGTGAAAGTGTCCAGTATTGAAGTGGTTAGTCAGTAAATACAAGCCTTCCTCTGATTGGTCAAGGCAACCACCATTCGTCCACCTCTCCACCACAGCCAATCAGAGGAACCTTTTACACATTAATAAGAATACAAGGCTTCTGAAAGTGGGGAAGCATACCGGCCGATTCAATTTAGTTCCAGCAGCAGATGGAAAGTCACTAAAACTGGGTGACTTAACATTAAACTAGCAAGGTTCAAACTGACCATAGAAAGTATTATTTTACCAAAAGAGTAGTTGATGCTTGGAACAGACTTTCAAGCAGAAGTAGTGAGTCAGTCAACAGTAAATGAATTTAAAACATGCTTGGACAAATATAGATCTATACTTTGACACAAAAGGAGAATAAAAAGGAAAAAATGAAAAAGGGGTAGACTTAATGGACCATTATCGTTCCATGTTTGGTCTGACCAAATGGTCCACATTCTGCCCTGGATCTGTAAATTCCCATCTTAGCTCCAAGCAAACGCCTTCATCACTTCAGACCTAACCACATTGCAGAAGTTTCATATTAGCTTCCTCTACCTGAAAATGTTCACACGTCTAAGGAAAAATACAACACTACTTTCTACTGCACAAGCAGGATTGCACTTTTATTTTACTGGCATTATCGCGCAATTAAAAAATGATTTGATTACAGACATGGTGTTCTGAATGTAGTAATAAACACGGCTGTTTTGTTTTTATCATTTTAATAAAATGTTATGAGTATACCTTAATTATTATATTGGTTTCATTAAGGTGACTTCCTTCCCCTGAACCACACCTTGACTCAAGGCTTATTAAATGACCATTTATCTGTTTATGGCTTGCCATTTGGCCAGGGCACAAAACAGCACACAAACACAAAGAGTTGACAATAATACAGAAGTTTCATGGTGACATGGAAGGTGGATCCCAAAGGAACCTAGTTTTAGTTTAAAGCAGTATTTAATTTCCCCAGCCCCCCATATGTTTTTCCCTCTTGCCTGTTTTGCTGGGTTATCTTCAAATCACATAATCACCCGTGCAGCGAATTCACAGTCATCCTGCCGCAATCTGCTGTCTTGGTGTCAAAGCCTGGGTCCTGCGCTACCAGCTTGGACTTCTTTGGCTGGCTGCCAGTTCAGCTCTTAATAAAGTGGGCTGACCAAAATGGTGTTTGGGGGGTGGCAGCAGGTGGGGCCAGAAGACAAATAAAAACAAATTTGCACAGTGCGTTCCT